ATCCCAATCTTTTGGTACCTGTTGAGACCTGATTTGTGACCTAGGATGTGATCTATTCTGGAGAATGTTCCATGGGCACTAGAGAAGAATGTGTATTCCATTTCTTTCATGCATCATCTCATTTAATCCTCACAAGGACCCCATGATATAAGGTTATCTAACCTTCAGATCTGTGTTCCATCTCAAGCAATCGGACCCCACTGGTCATGCTCTTAAACACTACAGTATACCTCTCTTAGAATAAAACCTCATTCTCAACACACACGAAAAATTCATATGTAATGTCATGTTGTCTACTGATAGGTTAGTGGCCCAAGAAATATTACTAAGGAAAAGTACTTCAGATTTTGTAGCAGCTAAAAATAATACCCTTTTCCTCCCAAGCATTCAGAAAAATCCCTAGTCTGGTTCATAGTAAAGCATTTCCAGGCTGGATTCAAATTTAGTTAAAAATAAAATTGCAGGGGCAAATTGCAGGCCTGGGTGTCTCAGGCGGTTGAGCGGCTGCCTTCGGCTCAGGTCATGATTCCGGGGTCCTGGTATCAAGCCCCACGTCCAGCTCCCTGCTCAGTGGAGAGCCAACTTCTCCCTCTCTCTCTGCCTGCCACTCTGCCTACTTGTGCTTTCTCTCTCTGTGTCAAATAAATAAAATCTTAAAAAAAAACCATACCATTTAAAAAAATAAAATAATAAAATAAAATTGCGTTACGTTCTAGGGTCTCAAGAACTAAGACCTTAAATTTTTTTAAAAAATAGCCTCAGAATTTACAATTTTATTTTCTCCCCTACTTTGTTTCTTTATTGTCACCAGAATTGAAGATCACTGAGAAATTTCTGACTACCCGGGCATTAATTCAAACTGGGAGGATTTATTTCACAGGCAACATAACTATTACAGGTAGTGAATTTTGTTTGATTTCAGTGTTTTAGCCTACAGTCCCACAACTTGTACTTTTAATATAACAAAATAATAGAATGTATAACTTATTAAGTACTTATAATTTGCCCTGGAAATTCTACAAGGCATTGCCTAAGGTTATTTCATTTAATTCCTAAAATAATCCACTGAGGCAAATAATGTTCTCACTGGCCAGCAGACCCATGAGTGTAAAAGGCAGCTGAACGACAATTCAGAAATAGAACTTCCTGACTCCAAAACTCAATGACTGTGATTGCCACTAAAGTATCATGCCTCCCCCATAGGCTCAATCAATCATTTTCTTAATTATTATTCTTGTTTTCACGGAACACCTACTCTGGCCAACTATGCTAGGTTGAGGGCCTAGAGTTAGATCAATGTTTAAATCTAAATTTTCTAGGGTCGCCTGGGTGGCTCAGTCATTAAGCATCTGCCTTCGGCTCAGGTCATGATCCCAGGGTCCTGGAATCGAGCCCCGCATTGGGCTCCCTGCTCGGCAGGAAGCCTGCTTCTCCCTCTTCCACTCCCTCTGCTTATGTTCCCTCTTTCGCTGTGTCTCTCTCTGTCAAATAAATAAAATCTTTTAAAAAAATCTAAATTTTCTACAAAACACAGATTTTTAAAGCAGGTCCTACAACCCTATGAATACATCACCAAGCTAATACTTTCAGAACGTTTTGGCTAACAATTTCTTTATAATCCTAGGTAAGATTCTCCAACTTTCTTATTATTCTCCAAGTTTTCCCTGATGACTCTGCAAACTAGTTGATATTTCTGCCTTTTGGTTTGTGGGCATTCCTACCAATTAGGGACACAAAACCGTCAGAATCCCAGTTCCCACCCTGACCCCTGATTTTGGATGATCCTAATACTTAGCAGAAATCAAAAGCAGTTCCTTTTCAGGAAAAGAACACATAAATTATATTGATAAGAAAAATCTCAGCTCCAAAGTCAGTATTTCATTATCAAAATAGCATAAACTTGCTGTCTTCACACATTGTAAAACCCAAATTGTTTAGCTGATTCCTATTACAACTTGTACCCAATTTTTTGTCAAGTGCACTGGTAAATACAGCACAAAGGTATGAGAGCTCTACGGAAGTGGGTGTTGTTTCCTCAGTGAAGGGTTTCCTATAAATGCATCCAGGAGGCAATTTTGAACAGCTGTGGGTTTTGGAGGTCAAGTGGTGTGACTGCCAACAGAAGCTGAAATGTGCTAACTCCAAAGAAGGTTCTGAGGGAAAGCCCAGAAGCCAGGAAAACGTCCTAGTTAAGGGGAAAATCTCAACTGATTCTTTTTCTCCATTCTCTTCTTAGTCACCAAACAACAGAGAGCTCAGTATTAACTACTCAATTCTATTTTTTGTTTGTAGGAACTAAATACATTGTTTCCATCTATATTTATTTTGCAACCAAAGTTCCAGGAACTGTATAAACCTGTTTTATAACCTTAAATTAGGTGTACGATTTGAATTTTAGTTCCCTCAGTGAAAGATTATATCGGTAAAATAATTTCAAAAACATTTTTTGTTATAAGGTTATCAAGTTCAGTAACTATATCTTTTTATTTTTAATGTGTTGAATTCACAAGTGCACAGAGAAAATTCAATATAAAACATCAAAAAAGAAATCTGTCAATAGATTATGAGTTATTGCAAACTACCTACCATCTGCATAGCTGAGATTTCAAAACCTGCATCCCGGATAGCCATGAGGATCTTTCCCAGCAGTCCTGAAAATACAGAACAAATGAGTGCAAAAATACAAAATTTTCAAGGCATTTTAGTTTCTTAGAAATGCAAATTTTCTACCTCAGAGTACTTTGCTTACATTCTATATAGAGAAATCACGTATTTCTCCAAGGGAAACTAAATCTCTAATATCAAGCATCACCAGTAATCACTTGATTCACTTAGTAAGTGCTTCAGGAATATCAACAGTGGTCCTGAAGATTATGCAAAAAACCTTTAAGATACTATTTTGCCTTAAAGCACCTGAAGTCTAGTGATGTAGAGAACATGCAAATAAAACAATTGAAACTAGCATTACAAAAAAATGAAATGCCATAGTACTGGATATGGGAGTTCCAAGGATGAATTCAAAGGAGAAAAATCAAATTATGATTGAAGGGGTGGCAGAAGCTTTAAGGGGAAATGAGAGCATGAATTGGTACTTAAAGCCTGTAGATAGATGGGATTATATGGAGAAGCAGTTATAAAAGGACAGAAGGCACAGATCTGAGAAAATGTGAGCATGTTCACATGGCAGTAAGAAGGCAGAAAAGAAGGGAAAAAAAAAAAGATGAAAAGGAAAAGAGATTTGATCCAGTGCTTTTTATAATACAGCCTGTAGATCCTGGGACTCTGGGACTGATTTTGAGATACCTTTAGTTTACTATAAAAATATTCTAAGCTTCTTTTTTTCAAGCCAACTAAAATTCTCCCTCCCTCCCTCTCTGTCTCTCTCTCTGTCCACTCCCCCCCTCTCTCACGCACACACACACACACACACACACACACTTACCCCATATATTTTGCATGATCTGGATGTTTATTTGGACCCAAAATCACCAAGGAGTGTGCACTTTTTTTTTTAGTATTTTACTACAGCCAGGTAGTGCTATTATAATTTAGTAGGTTGAGGGATGGAAAAAAAAAAAAAAAAAGACAAGGATAGACCTATTTCTCAAGTGATATATTTGTACCAAGTGAAGGCCAAATGATACCAGAGCATGCTGTAGAAACAAAGGTTCCTCAGAAGTAGAACAGACCCATGCCAACTCAGAACACTCTGTAGCATATACGTGACTTGGTGACTGAGTTTTGTCAAACATCCTTTATCTTATCAAAGTTGTTAAGTTAAATTTTATTCATTTTATAGTCTTGTTTGTAATGAATTTGTAAATTGCTTTAGTTACACAGTTGCATGTGCAAAGGTTTATATTTAGTTTTATATTTGGACATATTTAAGTTGCATTATAATTACAATAATTCACGTCAACACTGGGGGTCCATCAGAATATTTTTCCTCCAAATAAAACACTGCCAAAAAAAAGGAGAGCCACTGAAAACGTTGAGCAGAACACAGGACAAAATAGTGTTTTAGGAATATTATTGATGTAATACTGACAGGCAAGCTGGTCTGCAAAAAAGGAATAAAAGACACAATAACAAAGGCTTTTGAAACCATCTAGCAGGCTCACTGGACTTGGATGGCAGCACTAAAGAGAGAAGTAATGAATATAAGACATTTCCAAACAAGAACTAACAGGACTAAACTGGACACAGAGTGTGAAGAAGAAGGAATACAGGTTCTCTGAGTCCAAGTGACTGAAAGATGGACAACACCTTTAAGAAGAAAACAACTAATAAAAACAAATTGATTAATCTCTTGGGGAAGGTCATCAAGATGGCATGATTGACAGCTGACCAGTGAGCTGGACCCAGGCACTGCAGGGCTCCCCACCCCCTTCCGTGCCCTTGGAATGTGGGTTCTGCTCGCCTTTCCTGCTCCCAGAGTCTGCTTCAAGGACCCAGCCTTGAGATAATGATGCATGATACTGCAGGGAATGTTGACTGAACCCAGTTAAGACCTCTATAGAAACTTTTAAGATTTGGCAGGTGGGTGCGGGAATCCACTGCCTTGCTACTGCCTAAGACAAGCCTTGTATGTAAGCTTCCTTGCTTATTAAAACAGCCACCGACCAAACTGTAATGGCCTTCCTGCTTCTTCAGTCTCTCCCGGCCCTCTGAGTTCAGAGGCCAGTTTCAGATTACATTCAGAAAGTTTCCAAGGATGTTATGAACCAACAATTAAGGAAAAAGACAATGAAATATTTTGAACATAGAAACAGAATTTTAGAACAGAACACTGATCAGTATTTGAGAAGAGAGCATATCCAATGGCTAAAAAATGATAGATGAATGAGTGAATAAACTCCCCACACAAAATAGGTGATAAGGGATTGCATTCCAATAGCTAGATAGGTAGAGGGCTATAATGAGGTGTGCAGACAGGTTAGAGCTGAAATGGTGAGAACAGAGGTCTGCTTGTTTGACAAAAGGAAGAGGAAAAGGAGGGGCAAAGATGGCGGAGGAGTAGGGGACCCTCTTTCAACTGGTCCCCTGAATTTACTTTATCCGGCAAGGCTGGATATCTACCACACCACACTGAAAACCCATGAAATCAGTCTGAGAAGTAAGAAGATAAGTCTGGATCCCTACATACAGAATATCACCAATGGCTGGTTTTGAGGTATAAAGCGGGAAACTGTGATTCCGCGGGCAGATATCAGAAGATAAATAGGAAGGGGAGGGAGCCATGGAGATCCTGCACCACCAGTGAACGAAGCCTCCTGCCCTGGGGACAGGGCACAAACTCGCAGATGGTAGGCGGCGGGGAAAGGACTTTAGAGCAGCGCCCCGGACTGAAACCAGGAGCAGCGGGGCGTGCGTGCGAACTGGGGTGGCTGGCAGTTTTAGAAGCACAAAGAGCAGAGAGGTGCCTGGATCTGGAAGCGAGGGCTGGGAGTACTCCTGAGGGGCGCACAACTCAGAAGGCTGCGGTTTTAGAAGCACAGACAGAAACAGAGACAGTGTGGCCGAGAGCTCACTGAAGAACAGACTGAGATCGCTCTGCTCTGAGGCAGAGGGTTGGAAATGGTCACTTCTGCTCTGACACCTGGAAGAGACATGGAAAACTGCCAGGGAAAGCTGCCAGAGAACAAAAGACCCCCAAAACCGGTTTTGGTTGAGCCCATTCCTCACCACAGGGGGCAGGGCAACTCTGCCCAAAAAGGGTTGCCTGAGTAACAGTGCAGCAGGCCCTTCCCCCAGAAGACAGGATGGGAGAACAAGAGGCCAACAACCCTAAGGTCCCTATAAAACAGGTGCATCGTTTTGGGGCTGTGGTCAATAATATGGACTCTGTACATTCCCTCAACAACCACTCAACAGAATGACTAAGAGGAGGAACCCCCAAAATAGGAAAGAACCAGAGACTGTGACTTCTGCCATAGATACAGAAATGGACATTAGATATAAGCAAGATGTCGGAAATATACTTCAGGGTAACAGTTATGAAGACTATACCTAGAATGGAGAAATCAATTAATGGCAACAGTAGAGTCTCTAAGGGCAGAAATGAGAGCTGAACTGGCAAAACTTAAAAATGCTATAAACAAGATCCAATCTAATCTAGATACACTAACAGCTAGAGTAAACGAGGTAGAAGAAAGAATTAGTCATCTAGAAGACAAACTGATAGAAAAGAAGGAAAATGAGGAGGCCTAGAAGAATTAGCTTAAAATCCATGAAAACTGAATTAGACAAATAAGTGACACGATGAAACGTTCAAACGTCAGAATTATTGCAATCCCTGAGGGGGCGGAGACAGAGAGAGGACTAGAAGATATACTTGAGCAAATCGTAGCTGAGAACTTCCCTAATCCGGGGAAGGAAACAAACATTCGTGTCCAGAGGCAGAGAGGACCCCTCTGAAGATCAAGGAGAAGAGACCAATGCCCTGGCATTTAATAGTAAAACTCGCAAATCCTAGAACCAAGGAAACCATCTTAAGGGCAGTTAGGGGGAAGAAATTCCTTACATACAGAGGGAGGAATATCAGAATAACGACAGACCTATCCACAGAGACCTGGCAAGCGAGAAAGGCCTGGCAAGACATATTCAGAGTACTAAACGAGAACATGCAGCCAAGAATACTTTATCCAGCAATGCTATCATTTATAATGGATGGAGAGATGCAGAGCTTCCATGACTGGCAGAAACTGAAAGAATATGTGACAATTAAGCCGGCCCTGCAAGAAATATTAAGGGGGGTTCTTTAAAAGAAGAAAGACCCCAAGAGTGATATAGGACAGAAATTTACAAGAGACAATCTATAGAAACAAGGACTTCACAGGCAACATGATGACAATAAATTCATATTTTTCAATAATTGCTCTCAACGTGAACGGCCTAAATGCTCACATAAAATGGCACAGGGCTGTAGATTGGATAAAAGACAGGACCCATTCATATGCTGTCGACAAGACACTCATTTTGAAGTTAAAGATACATCCAGACTGAAAGCAAAGGGATGGAGATCCATCTTCCATGCCAATGGACCTCCAAAGAAAGCTGGGGTAGAAATTCTCGTATCAGACAAAATAGATTTTAAAGACTGTAGTTAGAGACACAGAAGGACACTATATCATTCTTAAAGCATCTATCCAACAAGAAGATCTAACAATTGTAAATATCTACGCCCCCAACATGGGAGCAGCCATCTACATAAGCCAACGGTTAACCAAAATAAAGAGTCATATTGATAACAATACATTAATTGTAGGAGACCTCAATACTCCACTCTCAGAGAAAGACAGATCATCTAAGCAGAAAATCAACAAAGAAATAAGAGCTTTGAATGACACACTGGACCAGATGGACCTCATAGATATATACAGAACATTCCACCCTAAAACAGAACACTCATTCTTCATGAGCAAACATGGAACTTGCTCCAGAATACAACACATACTGGGTCACAAATCAGGTCTCAACCAATACCAAAAGATTGAGATTATTCCCTGCATATTCTCAGACCATAATGCTTTAAAACTGGAACTCAACCACAAGAAAAAATTTGGAAGAAATTCAAACACTTAGAAGCTAAAGATCACTCTGCTCAAGAATGTTTGGGTCAACCAGGAAATCAAAGAAGAACTTAAACAAATCATGGAA